TATATAATACCCTGCGGGTCACCAGTTGCAGCAAAGTAAACTGGGTTCCCTTCCCTACCCCTGTCCATCCCTTGTTAATGGCGTTTCTGAGCAGTCTTCATGCTTGAAAACGCACACGTCCATCCCTCTCTCTGCACCAAACTGCAGAGCCAGCGTGTAAATCGCTGAGCTTTTGTAGCAGACTGCAGGCTGATGCTTATTGGGCTCCTGAACTTCAAACAAAGTGGTGAGCAGCAGTCAGGATCTGGCCCAAGAAAAGGAGCAGTTGTGTAAAACTGGAGTTTAAAAAAAACACTTGCTTTCCAGCTGAAAACAGATTTCTCTGAGTATAGCTTGTATTTGAACTACAGGTGAAGGAGATTTTTCAGGCCTCCCCCTTCTTCGTGAGAGACAACTGTGTGTCGATAATGAATGGAACCGATGAAGGTAGGCTAACTTGTGGACACACTTTCTGCAGTCCTGGAGATCCCTGGTGCACTGTGACAAGTCCTCGCGCGCTGTAATGGGAACCCACAAGCAGCGGGTTCGACACAGTTTTCACGCTGCTTCAGGCAGTGCCTGACAAAGAGATCTTGTGCTGTGTTTTCCAATTTGAAGTCCTGAACTCTGTCCTGATTTTTAAAGCTCTGAGTGCCGGGTGGTCCCTGTGGGATCACCAGGAAGCCACTGTGCAGTCAGCACTTCTGGAAAGGTTTCTGAATATCCGCTTGTTGAGACAGTCTTCAACAACTGGTTTTGCACACCCTGCTCTTGGCAATGCTTATCATAGCTTTCTGGAAGTATTTGGTCATAGTGTTAACTATAACTGATCTAATGTGTGTGATTGTGAACTCAATCTGAAAAAATGTTATATAGAAAAGAAAATACAGGCTGAAGTAAGTTGATGCTCATCAAAAAATGCTGAGGACAGAACCCAGAATCAGTCTGGGTTTAAAATAATTTGAAGAAACATGTCTAAATTCTAAGTAACTGAGTATGGAGGTGTGTTTTAAATCTGCTTAGAAACCAAACTTTGAAATAGCTGGAGCTGTTTGGAGCTGTTTATGAGTTTCTTTTTTACTTGCTTAATGGAAGAAACACATTGTAATTCTTCTTTTTGTTTTGTTTTAAAATCGTTAATAACAGTGACAGCCTTGGTTCAGCCAAGGGTTGAACTGGACCATGTTCCTTAGCATGCCTTGAGTTTTAACCCCATGGATAAATATTTGAATTTGTTGACATAAGGCCCGCTAATTCATCTAATTTATGGAGAAAAGGTTTATAAAACAAGAGGAGGGCAGAAACAGTGTGGCTCACAAGAATGCTTAGAGGAAAATAGGAAAAATTATAACACTGAAAAGATCAAAATTCCTAGTATTCAAAGGAAAGTCCAGTGCCTCACATCAAACAAAAGCCGACCAGTGGATGTTTTCCTAGAAAATTAACAATTAACAATCAGTAATCTCCTTGTCTTTTAGCTAAGGAGTGAAGCCTTTGTGACTTCTTACCCAAGTTTTTGACCTGTGAAATACAGAGTTCTCCAGGCATTTCATATATGGGGCTTCTCTCCCAAATATCACATAAGCTCTAGTGTAGAAGGTCATTCTCTTTGCTCAAGGCATCTAATCTTGGTTTTTGATGGCCGTTGACAGTTGTGGAATCATTGGCTTTGGGGCAGGATGGGTCAGGGGAGCTCAGCAGAGCCGGTCCTATTCACCCTTCTTGAAGGTTCTTCTTGCTTAGCTCTCAGCTAAACATCCTTCGGAGACTTTGTATTAGAAGTCCTCCATTTATGAAAGAGGGATGAGGGAGCTTGTGGCAGATGGTCTCTGATGTGTCTTTGTCTATTGTTGGATGACAAGCTCTGGTTTGATGATTATTTTGTTTAGATGGAGCTGTTAAACTGAATGAGAAAACTTAAAAATGCCTCCAGCTAAACAGGTCCTAAAGCAGAAGACCTTGTAATACAGCTCACCTTATTTGTTACTGTTGTTAGATAAAACGAAATGGTATGGTCTAATAGTGTGTCTTCTGAATGTTTTCCTTATTAGGTGTTTCAGCCTGGATCACAGTAAATTTTTTAACAGGTATGTGTACACGAGCATGTGCATAAAGGTATCACCAATGCTGTGAAATTCATGCCGTTTTCTGCTCCTGCATGGGATTTCCTCATTCATTGGGATGGAGTGGGAGAAAGAAAGATCTGGGAATAAGTCAGCAGTTGGTTTTGGCCTGGCCTATTTAAGTCATTAGGATTTTGGCCATTTACTTGACAGAGTGAGGAGTTTAATCCTTTTTCCTAGATGTTTAATGTAGCCTTTATTTCAATTCCCTGTAGGGTACCAGAGCGCTTTATTCCTTTTTAGAGTCTGCCACTAGCTCTGGCTAAATTTTTAATGTGGATATTCTAGATGTGCTTGGCAGCTGCACAGAGTAAAAGAAAGAGTGCTATGCTACTTCCTTACAGATTTATAACATAGAAATACCGCAAGTTAGAAAGGGTAGCTGAAGAGTAAAGAAAAAAACTAAGCTGAAGCCCTCTCTGACAATAAGTAAAGCAGTCTGCTGTCCGAGCGCTCTGTTCAGCACACACAGTGTGTGGGGCAATACCACAAGTGCTCTAATGCTTTTTATGCTCACAGGAAATATCAGAAAGGTCAGAGATCTTCAAATATCAGCTATCATGAGGTACACCGAGGTAGTTGGGACAAACTAGTCTTGTCAGGAAGGTGTATTTAAAAGATCTAACTGAGAAGAACTGGATTTAAATGAGAAGAGATTGCCAACCCATCAGTCTGTCCCTTGGCCATAGGAATGTGCAAAATATCACTAAGGGATCAGGGAGAGGTGGCCAAGAAAACCACATTCCTCTCTGTTACAAACTGGTTACCAGAGTAGAGTTTGCAAAAGGGTCCTTGCATCCACTGAGAAATGTTTAGGAATCCAATAACCAAAGCTGCTGTAATGAGGGCATAAACAGCCACCAGAGAAATAGGAGAAACTGTCACTTGAGGATTTTCAGGTCACCCTGATAAAGCCAAAATAAGTGCCCCGTAGATGATGGTGTAGTTTAGTGCTGGCTGGAAGCTGCCAGGTGGACTTAGATTGTTCTCTTTCTTTACCACTGTGCTTCTAGTTTTGTTCCTGGCCAGTTTCTCACAGTGCCCACCATGGCTTTGTCTGTTCTGTCACACATTTCAGGTAGCCTAGATGATCCGCAGAAGAGAAGTGTAGGGATGCTGGATTTGGGTGGTGGATCAACACAGATCACCTTCCTTCCACGCACAGAGGTAATGTGACCACGCACATTGTTGGGAAATGCTGGTGCAGAAATCGGGAACTGCTCAGATTTGTGTCCCTTGGAAACAGACCAAGAGTTTGTCAGTATGACGCGAAGCCACGCTTTTGACAGAAAAACCCAGGTCACTTGGTAACATCTGCCTTCTTAGAGTCGGTCACGGAGGTGTTCACAACTCTTTGTCAGTTCTCTTACTCCAACGCCATGGGTTGGTGGTGCATGTGGTAAATCTGCCAGGACTGCTTTATCTTGCGGGAAAATACAGTGTTTGCCTGAGTGTCATAATCCTTGACTCTTAGTTTGTGCTGCTTATAGTGAAGAACTCAAAGGCAATGCTGTTAGTGAATTCAGGTCCAATATTTGGCCTATATTGGGTTTTAAGAACACAGTGCGATGCCTTCTCAATCCTTGTTTCTGGTTTTCCTGAGTTCACTCAGCTGCAAATGAATGCTTTCTAAGGAGCAACTGTTATTATGCGGTAAAAAATACATGCTCATGTTTGTGATTTCAGCTTCCTGTTGTGGCATTTTTATAGGTGTTCTGTGAGCTGGAAGCCCTGTGGATGTGGAGTTGTAAGTCTCTGCCCCGAGCAGAGATACTGTTCATAGTAAAGCTGCACAAAAGCAGAGGGTTGGGATGCTGTATCTAGTGTAATCAAGCCTGGGCTAATCAAGACGTTGTGCTCTTACAGCAGAATGACAGGGGATGTGAAGAGTCCAGGATGTGAAAATCCTGGTGTTAGAGATGGTGTTAAGATATGAGCAGCACGAATAGCATTGTGGCCTGAGCTCTGCTCCCCACAAATGCGCTAGCTGTGCTGGTGCACTTGGGGAAGAAGCTGCAAAGTGCTTTAGATAATTACCCTTTCATTTCTTCAGACCACAGGCTGGTCCTCGCTCTGTTCCTTGGCAAGCACAGTGATGTGCTTTTCCTCTAGCTTGTGGAAGTTCACAGCTGAATTCACTTGAGTAGGAAGTGACTGCGTGCCTGGCTTTCATATTATTTTGCACACAGTTTTCCCTAGTAGGGATCATGTGAAGAGGCAGCTGCTGTATAGCCTCTTGACAAAAGCAGTTAAGAGCTGGAATAATGATTCCTTTTTAATTAAAATAATTATTTTATAGACCAATTTGTTTTGGATACAAATAGAAATTTAGCCAGTTTGGACTCTGTCATGTGAAGATGCTATTTTAGCTCCAGGTTTTGTGGTTGTCTTGTGTATCAGCAGTCAAATAAAAATACTTGCAAATTCATCATTTCTCTCTGAACCATGCTAGGATTGTTTCACATTTTTCTGAGTGTTTTGGAGGATTGGGTTGTTGATGTTTGCTGCTGCTGGCAGAAACCTTGCAGTGACATCTTTTTCTCCCTCCAGGCAACTCTCCAGACATCTCCAGTTGGCCATACAACTTCATTTCAGATGTTTAACAACACCTACAAGCTGTATTCGTACAGGTTAGTTGTGGGAAATAGAGCACACTGTGCAGATGTGCTTTCTGTGAAGCCAGTGAGACCTAGGTGTTTTGCTGAAGTGGGGTCCTTGCAAATGAGTACTGGGAGGAATCTGAGCCATGTCATTGTGGATTAACCTTGGCTGCCCGCCAGGTGCTCACCAAGCCGCTCTGTAACTCCCCTTCCATCAACAGGACAGGGGGGAAAAAAAAATGACAAAAAGCTCGTGGGTCAAGATAAGGACAGGGAGGTCACTTACCAGTTACTGTTGTGGGCAAAACAGGCTCGACTTAGAGAACTTAGTTTAATTTATTGCCAATTAAACAGTAGGATAATGAGAAATAAGGACAAAATCAAAAACACCTTCCCCCAACCCCTCCCTCCTTCCCAGGCTCAGTTTCGCTCCCAGCTCTTCTACCTCCTCACCACCAAGTGACGCAGGAGGATGAACGGGGGTTGCAGTGAGTTCGCAGCGCTTTGTCTCTGCCATTCCTTCCTCCTCACCATCTTCCCTGGCTCCCAGTGTTCTGGCAGAGGGAAGCAGCTTCTTCCCACCTATGTTTGCTGTGGGGTGTGTTTGGGCTCAAAAAGAGTCAATTATGTATGGTAGAGGCTGTGCTGCCTTTGAGGAGAGTAGGAGAAATGTTAGGGGAATGCCTTCAGCATTCCCAGTTCTTCAAGAGCCAGATTACTGTTGACAGCTATTGCCTCTGATTTTTCACAGAGAGATTATCCTTCTGGGTAAGGGTGATACGAGAGCGGGTTGTCACATTCTTCCCCTTATGTGCATTAGCTGCTGACTCGAGCCATTTTGCTGGGACCGTGTAGAGAAGACTGGCATGTCCCAGCCAAGTTGTCAGCGGAGTATCAGAGGAAGGATGTTTGTTGTTCACAGAGCCTTTTATCCCTTTGCAGTTACCTGGGACTCGGGCTGATGTCAGCAAGGCTCGCCATTTTAGGAGGAGTTGAGGGAAAACCCTGTAAGTTATGGGAACTCCTCAAGTCTTGGCTCTGAGCATAGGGTACGTAGCCCTGTTGTGGGGGGGAGGAGTTGTCTGTCCCCTTCCCACTGGGCTCATGGTTCCTGAGTGGTATGTGGACTCCTGTCACCATGGCTGGGTGCATTTGAGACAAATGCAGGAGGTGACACTGCTAGATCCCAGGAGACCTGGATTCTTGCCAGCCCTGGCGGGGCATGGGACATCTGACATCATTATTGGGGCCTGGAGGTGCCTCACTGAGGCTGTGGGACAGTATGGAGCAGGGCTGTGGCTGAGGGATCTGAACCTAACTCCTCATATTTTTCTCCCTAATGTGACTTTGGTTTGCTTCTGCAGTAGGAGAAGGGGAGGAATTGATCAGCCCTTGTTTACCACCTGGCTTCAAATCTGAATGGCAACATGCTGAGATAGTGTACAAAATTAAAGGACAGAAGGCAGGTATAGTGATTTATCACTCTTCCTATCTAGGCCAGCATGCGATTAGCAGAGTAAATGATATACTCTCAGCCTCTTGCAAAGACACTAGATTCTCTGTTTATTGTTCTGTTTGGTTCCTTTTGATGTGCTGTTAAAGAGATTCTGCAGCTCTTTCCTCTTGTGCCATGGTGTGTCTGTCCAGTCAGTAAAGCTGCTAGTGGTAATGCAGATGGAGTTGAACAAGTGCTGAACAGGTCTTACAAAATCCTTCTGCCTCAAGTGACGTTGTCCTTATCTGATCTATCGCATACTTAGTCCCAACCTGAGGATGGTAAGTGTTGCCGCTGGAGGAAGATGCAGATTTCAGTTCTCTGTGAAGAGCTTACGAAGTGCTGTTATGCAAAACAGAGCCTGTTTCCTGGCAGATCCTAAATAAATTGTACGTATATTTAACTCCCTGCTTATAATATGCTGGGTTTCTTGGCTTTCTTTTAGGTGAGCCTCTGTATGAGTCTTGTTCTAACAAAGTGGCAAAGATGCTCTACAAAAAAGTGCATAAAGCTGAGGAAGTGAAGGACTTGGATTTTTACACTTTCTCCTACTACTATGACCGTGCAGCAGAGGTTGGTCTTATAGGTACGTTTGCGCCTGCTTTGTTTCATTTTAAATTACAAGTTGTGGAAGAAATGGTAACACTTAGGCACATCACGATGCTTTGCTAAGCTGTCGTGGATCTTAGTCTTTTCTTACGCTGCTGTGCACCATTGGTCTCGACTGGATATTGCGTGCTGTTTAGTTTCTGTAGAAAAGGGACTGGGGCTGTGGAATAGGACCTGCAACTTCTGGTAATGTTTTTTAAACAAACTGTCTGCATTTCAGAAATTGTTGTTGTCTGATTAACTCTACAATCCAAAATAGAAAAAAACCCTCATAATGATAAACAAATTTCTTGGGCAATAAAGCAGCAAAGGGAACTTGGGCTGTGTGTTTTGCTTCACTGACCTTTTGAGATGGAATGAAGATTTTCAAATGATTCCACATGTATTCAAAATGCATCCCATCTCTTTTCCAGTGGTATGCTGGTGTACAGCAGGCTGTCATGTCCAGTGGTAGAAAGCAGATGATGAGATCTCAAGCTAGTTGGGACAAACTAACCCCCCTCCTCAGCCACTTTGTTTACAAATAGTTTCAGATTTTATATGTCGCAGAGCGTCACTGCCCTGTCAGATCTGGTCAAAGGCATTAGCTGTGTTCAGGCATCACCGGGCAGGGCAGCACAGACGTGGGGACAAGGTGAGAGAGTCTGTAAACTCTGTTTCTTTAGCAAACAAGGCTAAAAGTTCTTCATAAAACGAGGCTTTTCAATCTATATTAAGAATCTTTTAAAGGTTGTTTTACCTTTAAAGCAAGTGTGAGTTTTGTCATTGATTTCAGTGGCTCAAGGTTTGATTTCCAAACAGCTTTTGTGACTTGAATCTACAATTGCCTTTATACAAAAATCATAAAAGACCATGGGTTGTTTTTTTTTTCTTTCAGATAAAGAAAAAGGAGGAAGCTTAACTGTTGGTGACTTTGAAATTGCAGCTAAATATGGTGCGTAAAATACAAACACACTAGTAATTCATACCCAGGGGGCAAATGTGTGACATACTGAGAAGCCTGATTTTTTTTTATTTTAAGTAAATATTGAGCACCTCTCTTGAGCACCTTTCTCCATAGCATCTCACTAATATTTCTGCTTATTTCTGAAAATCTCAACTATTTTGTATTAATTCTTGCTTTTGCAGCCCACATAAGACACATCTTATAATACTTATATTTCAAAACTCTCTCAAGAATTACTAATAAACTTGGCCATTAACAGTTGTCCTGAAATCATGCTTTCAAAAGAGATGTGGGGGTTCTCATCCTCTTAGGATAACCTGGTCTTATTTTTTCTTTTGTGTCTCAACATTTGTTCATACGCTTGATTGTTAATTGGAAAAGGGGGAAAACCGGTTTGTAGCTTTTTGCTTCACCAGCTGCAGAGAGAACTGCCTGTGCAGGTTTACAAATGTAAACATTCTTTTCTTAATACCACAAACTCAGGCTTTGATTGAACTGACGTGGGGCTTTTTGGTAAACTTTATGAATGACTGAACAATTGTTGCAGTTCTGATCTCTGGACTACCATTTGTATAATTAATACTGAGAAAGGAAGTGGGTTTTATTTGGTCTTTTCTTTTTCTTTTGTCTTTCCATTTGTCGTCTTTTTTTTTTTTGTGGTTGGTTTTGTCAACATCTGTTGAGTGCTTATGCTCGAGATACATAACATGCCCGAGGTTGGTCAGATTTTTAAAGGCTCGAAGTAGACAGAAGAATGTTTGGAGGCCGTTTTCATCCTTTCCCGGAGAGATACAAGAAACTCAGCTGTCTTAGGGGAGAGACATAATGCCTTGATCTTCCTTCCAGTATGCCAAAGCTTTTCTGCTTCTGCTAACGTGTGCATGTCATTTCAACCCCATTGTAACAGGTTCTGTCACTGCACAACTCAACTGACAAGAGGTGGTTTATGGATTCATTTGAGGTTTTTCAAAGCTGGGCTGATGCTAGGCCTGAGCCCACAGTTCGCATTCAGATACTGTTTTCTTTCTCCTTAGTATGTAAGACCATGGAAATCAGTCCTGGAAGCAGCCCTTTTCTCTGCATGGACCTCACGTACATCACTTTCCTCCTGCAAGAGCTGGGCTTCCCGAAGAGCCAAGTCTTTAAGGTGATGCACAAAGTGGATTGCTGGGAAGAGTTGGCAGGAGGGTGCTGAGGCAGTAGTTGTCATGTCAGTAGCTCAGTCCTTGATTTGCCTTCTTGCTACAACACATGCTCTGCGATTGGGGGTGGAAGGACACTGTCCCCATGATAGTCATAACCAGTTGTGATAACCTTCAGCACTGTATTCACCTTGCATGCTTCTCCTTCTCCCAAAGAATTAGTTTTAACTTTTTTGTTTGATTTTGTTTTTCCAGCTTGCCCGGAAAATTAACAATGTTGAAACAAGCTGGGCGTTAGGAGCCACTTTTCATTACATCGACTCACTCAATAGACTGCAGTACTAAAGCTCCTTGAAGGTGACATTTGGGAGTCTCAGTTTTTGGAAGCCTGATGCGGGAGAATCTGTTGAAGGGCCTGCTTTTGGCTTCTGGAGTCCATTGGGAGGTCATCATAAACTAGGCCCCTTTCCTCCCACCCCCTGCCAAGTCCCCTCCATCACTAGCTGTTTTTTACAGTGCAGAGTGCTGTATCTAAAGAATAAGCCTTGATTTGACAGCATCTGCAGTCAACTTGATGTAAAACTTGATCATTGTTGAAGGAAAACCAGGACTCTGCAGGACATCTATGATCTCTATGAGAAAAACACACCTTTTTGGAATATGCCTGTACTATGTGCTTGTACTGTGCTGAAGTCGCTGTAGGAAATGGTCACTCCAGAAGGAACTCTTTACTGTCCTGATTTCAGGGTGTTTTTTCCTGTTTGTCAGCATTTTTCCGTGATGATTTTTATTTTACTACTTCCGTGTTTGAAGGTGAACTTGTGTGTGTGCGCGCATGCAAAGACAGTGCATTTACACAGATGTGCTGCTGACAGGCAGCAGCTTTGAAGTGCGGTGTGGAAGTCTCAGCTCTGCTTTCCACTTGCTGAACTAGCAAAGGTCAGGAGCGCTCTGGGAACTGGATATAGACTCAGAGGCACGAATCAGAGCCTATATGCCCCGTAGGGGTAACACCTACAGCCTAATGTTGGTTCCCTGGCTGTTGGGAGATGGATGGTGGAAGACAACATCAGATTTGCTGGATCTAGACAAGCATGGCTGGGGAGTTGGGTACGGGGCTAATGATGGGTTTGGCAGTTATAGAGTCGGTCAGGGTAAGACCGATGAACAAGACGCAGACACAAAAATAAACCCTGAGTGCAGCTTATTGGACCTCACAGACATTTGTGCCTTGGCGAGGCTGATGCACGGCCCAGGGTGAATGCTTTTACCATGGTGGTTTGGGTGCTGCTTCCTGCAGATGCATCTCACTTTGATAAATGAATGTATTGTGGTTGCACTGAACCATGGCAGGGTAGCTGCAATGCACCACTCCAACAGTGTCCTGTACGGAGGCAGCGGGAGCCGGAGAGAATGTACTGCGCTATTTGCAATCTAATCGTGGAATCATGTATTCATGTGGATGTTTAGAGCAGATCCGAGTGGTCTTTTGGGCGTGCAAAAGAGCCCAGGCTCCTGGAGAGCCAGCAGCGCGTGCCGCAACTTGTGGGCTCGTGGCCGCAGCCTCGTCCGTTCACTTGGGCAGCGAGACGTGGTACGGTGGCGTGCGGTGCTGCGTGGCTGCTGCCTCTGCAGCCGAGTGTAGAGGGGACACTTGAACCACACCATACTGACAATAAAACCCCAGTTTAAAATGAAAAAGTGGTGGTGGTGGTGGTGTGGCTTTTAGCGCCAGAGCCTGGAGGGTGGGTGGGTTAGGAAATGAGTGCCCTGATGCCATCGCTATCCCCCCACACCATCGCTGCTCCCCTGTGCCATTGCTGTCCTCCCACACCATTGCTGTCCCCCCACATCATGGCTGCCCCCCTGTGCCATCGCTGTCCCCTCGCACCGTGGCTGCCCCCCTGTGCCATCGCGGTCCCCCCACACTGTTCCCGCCCCCCC